GCCATGGCGATACAGCACAGCTCGGCGAAGAGGGCGACTCTCAGCGAGATTTACGCCTACATCACCGCCAAGTTCCCGTATTTCGAGAAGAACAAGAAAGGATGGCAGAATTCGATCAGGCATAACTTGTCGCTGAACGAGTGCTTCGTCAAGGTGCCCCGAGAGGGTGGCGGCGAGAGGAAAGGCAATTTCTGGACGCTCGGTAAATTAATGCCATTTTTCATTATTGCACGTTTTACCAGCTTTATTCGTTTCCATTACGAAAGTGGCCGAATTATGAAGGATTATTGGAAATTGTTAATTTTCTAGTTTTTGAATTTGTCATCTCGGTTTTCAATTCCCGAATTTTCTTTCTATTTGTTTCTACCAACGAATTTTTCTTATCAAAAAAGAGCTGAAGTTAGAGATATAAATTGATTCACAATGTATTTCAAAGAAAATATCTTTAATTCCTTTTAAGAGTTACTGTCTATTTAAACAATTAGATGATACATTTTTATGGCAAGTCGTTTGCGTCCTAGTGAGAATTCGTTGTAAAACGTGTTTTCTGCGTCATCGTAGATCCGCAGTACGAAGATATGTTCGAGAACGGCAATTACCGAAGGCGGAGACGAATGAAGCGTCCCTACAGAAACGCTCCGTACCACAAACCGCTCTTCGGCGATCCGTTCTCGGCGACCCACGTACATCTGGGACCCAGGAACATTTTCGGCCATTCACCCCCTTCGTACGCCCCCACCGCTTATACGCGATACGATACGAGGTATTCAATATTTTCCAGAATATCATGAAATAATTATCACATACTCTCTAAATCTGAATCAGTGACCATTTACTGATTCAGATTTAGAGAGTACGCTATGCGAATTCAGTTCACGACTGAAGACCTTAGAGCGAGAAAAGACTCCCGTTCATCAACACCTGAATCTTAATTAATTAAAAATATGTGTGTATCTTAATTGTAATAATATATTCCTCCTCGAATTAGTACTAAACTTATTTTCATTGTAGCGCATGGAGTCTCCAACAGTCGCAACTCTCATATAGCCATTGCCAGTCGGTGAGTTCTCATGCTAAAGATCGTTATGTGTCCATTATATAAACATTCTTTTATAGATTTTATATAAAATACTTCGGAGGGGAGGGAAGGATACTTCGAGCAAAGATACTTTTCTTTAATTTATTATAATGGAGAATAACGCCTAAATCATCTATATTTACCAAACTTTTCTTTAATTTTTGCTTTAGATTCATCTCTCGTGAAAGTATTAGCATAGAATTACAGTAATTTAATTTAGTTTCTCATAAGCGGCACGTACGAATACCCAAATAGTTTATTATAATTCGGCCGAGTCATTGGAGGTCTCTTTGATCACAGCTGCAGCCGCAATTGCAGCCGATGCAGTCGATGCAAATCCCGGCTATGAACGGCTACAGTCAACTGGGTAGTTCGTTAAGTGAGTCACTATTCTCGCACTTTGCACCCTCTTTTGTCGAGCGGGGTAACGCTGAACGACCAGACAAAGCGTTTCAAGGCAATTACCTGGATGTTCCAGGTGGAACGGCCGGATCGCCCGGCTCCATGGGCGGCGGCACGTTCGGCAGCAGTTTCGCCGCGTGCAGCAGGAGGCACGAATCCGCGATGGCCACGGATACGATGCCCGGGAGATGCTACTGGCCCGAAAGTGAGCGCGATTTTAATAAACAATTAAAACCCTAACGTTTCCTAACGCGATTTCAAATAAACTGTCCAGTTTTTATTTTTTTTTTTTTACATAACGCGTTCGCAGAATACATATTGAACTTGAGCGTCGGATGACGATATGTGAAAGACGCATGACAATTTAATCCTAGCTCGTCACATCCAGTGAACCGCTGAATGTTTTTCAGTTTTTTAGTTGCAATCTTTTTCTTATAAAATCATTTTCTTGACCTGATATTATCGTATACATGTTATTCAGACGCTGTACTTTCAATTCCTACATTGCAAGCTTAAAAATATTAGTTAGAATGAAAATAATAATGCGACAAAGTCTAGCGGAACGTGGCGAATTAAAAACTCGAAGATAAGTGCGGCTAGCTAGGGCTAATATACATCGAGATTTTAGGCCTGTTTGTTTTAGTTGAACTTCTTGGTTCATCTTTTCTCTCTTTCTCCCCAACGTAAAAAGCAAAAGTGAAAAGATGAACCGTACGAAGAAATCAAGCTAAAACGAACAGGCCTTTTTTTCACGCGGGCGGGCGGTCGTAAATACCGCGACATATACGCAACTCTTTTTAACGGTCTCATTGGAATCGTCTGACGATTGTCGCAGTGGTAAACGTGAAGGAGGAGCCCGGGACTAACACCGTGTCGACCAGCGTCGGCGTCGGTGTCGGCGTCGGTGGCGTCGGCGTCCCGTCCGGCATGATGGGCTCCGCGACGTCGTCGGGCGTCTCCACGACCGGATTCGCGCCGATGGAGTTCCAGACGCGTTCCAAGTGCTTTATGTGAACGCGTGAGGAACCGATCGACGCCGTCAAACAGCAGCAGCAGCGCTACGTGCCACGTGACGAAGCGACGACGCGACGTTGCGAGGATCGAGGGACGATCCTACGTGATCTATCGCGCGGCGCGTTAGATCGCGACGAGATGGATTCGCTATTCGACGAACGGTGAGCGATGCATGCGCGATCCCGCGGAAACGCATCTCTCGACGATAATGCGGTATAATGCGGATTATATTCAACAAATATTATCGACTAATGTCTGATAATCGATTTAGCGATGTTTTTGGATGGCCGTTCGCGAAATCTAACCGCGCGGGGGGGAGGGAGGGGAGAAATACAACCAAATACAACGTAAACGTTTGTGAAACTCGTACGTGTAATTGCTATTGTTGTGTTAATTCGATGTTAAAGGTATATGTTACCTCGTGCTGCATCTTTGCTGCGTAGATGCGCTCGTTCACGCTCGTTAAATACGTAAGCGACACGCAATACGTATACGAAGGTAATCCGCGCTTATCGTGGGAAATATTACGACACATATGAGATACCTATGATGATTTCTCTCGGCGATCCCTGAATCTTTTTCGCGAGAGTGACAGCTGCGATCGCGCCCTGTCGCGGTCCCGATCGGTCGCAGATCGCCGCGTGAGAACGACACGCAGGGTGATCGTGAAAGATAATCGTGAAAATTTCTCGGTTTTACCCTCGTTTTTTCGACGATGTAACACGTTTGAAAATACCTCTATCTTCGCACATTGTTTTCGACTGCTAGACAGTATTTAATATCTTGACGAGAGAGGCGAGATTGTTCACTATGGGGAGATTGTTTACTAAAGGGAGTTTGTTCACTATGGAAATGAAAAAATGAGATATCGTTTCCATCGCGATAGAACAGAAAACGCGTTTCTTTCTGGATTAATTAACACAAGTCTGCATGATTTTGTGGTCGGGAAGAGGAAAGTATTAGGTTCCTATAGTTTTTTTGTGCGCTGAATCCGAATTTGCAAGCAAAGATGTCCTATCGTCAGGTTTACGAGAAAAATGAGGTTAAAGCCCTTATGTTCGAAATAAGCGCGCAATACAGCGACAGCGACGCGGCGACCGCGGCGACCGCGGCGACCGCGGCGACGGAAGCAAAGAGCGCGCTGCCGATCGTCTTCCGCTTGCCGGTCCGCGCTAGCGTAGCAACGATGAGAGAGAGAGAGCGCGCTACGACGAAGTCACTCAATCACGGTTCTCGGTTCGAGTAGCACGTGTCTCGAGAATTAGATATTCGGTTGCGAGAGAATACAGTAGAACGAAATACGGTGTTGTTTTCGAGGAAGTTTGTAAAAAGGTGATCTCGTAAGAAGAAGGAATAATATTAGTTTCGGAACGGCAAACTATCGTGTACACTTGCCGGCTACCTTTTCTCACGTTTTCCTTCTCGTAACTACACGTGCGTATCCGGTTTCATGTAAAGAGCGTGCTTACATAGCAAAAGACGAATAAAGAGATTGGCTCTGCTTTCGGGGATTACATCGAGAGAAAAACGATACTGCGCACGTCTGACGAAGGAAGGATTCCGCCAAATCTCTGTGGATATCATCGAAACATCGAAGCTCGTTCACGTTCCAGTTACGCCGTCATTTCAACGGCACTAAGAAAAGAACCTCTACGATAAGTACCCAGAAGCAATCTATTTCCGTTACAAATCGGATAAGCGTGTACCACGCATTTTGCTTAACAGACTTGATCTGCCCTTCCGGTATTTACCGGATAATTAGATTTACGACAGATACTTAACCACCATATCT